CTATTTCTGGGATACCGCAGTCCCATGTGGATCAGAAAACAGCCACAATGTAGTACAACTAAACCCTGATGAAAATAAATATTATCTTCTCACTCCATATCCCACATTAATGCAATCACTCAAAAAATTTTCACCAGAAAGCATTCGCGCTATTGCTCGAAACCCAAATATAGACTTACAATCAATAGGAATCTATTCAAAATCAGATATTCAACATCACATTAGAACACAACAATTCCAAGAATTATTAACACAAATGGACACTATACAAAGACAATCAATAGACCAAAATTTACGCAAACTTGCAGAAACCGCAGGATTTGCCGATATCTACACGCAAGACTATAGCGGATATTTTAAAGACATTAAAGATTATATATATCTAAACGGTGAAAAATACCGTCCCCAAGATATATCACCAATTAACATTTTTAGCTTTGTTACACTCAAAAATGAGATCCTCGATTTTCTAGGATGGCCCTACTACATCTTAGAAAAATTGACTATTTTATACGCAATGTTTAACTTTATTGGATTTCTTTTCTCACTTTTAAAAGGAATCTACAACACATGTGCTATACACACACAAGTCAATCGACAAGCAAGTGTAGCACGCATACTCTTTGCAGGATTTTTTGGAATCTTTTCTACATCTATAAACAAAATTCTTTTAGACGCACAAATAAAGGAATATAACACAAAAATAGCAACACGACAAAATACATACGACGAAGAACATAACAATGTAGACATAACGCCAACGGCACCACAATTACCACCCCTACCAAATAACCATCCACTATCCCTAGTCCCACGAAATTTTCGAAATTTAGCCATCACACATAATCCAAATTTTCGACTCACCACATCACAAAGTCCCATTCAACATATAATGACACACCAGTCGCAAGATGATAATACTTATGAACAAATAATTGAACAACCCCATACCACCGCTTTTCAGTCTCAAAATAATCATTTTTTTAACCCACGATGAGCCGCCAACTTGGATCACTACACCGATCAAATTCCCACCCAACCAATCTTACCTCTCCAATCCCAATAATACCACTTTTTGCTTTTCCGCCACCCGATTTTCCATCTAGTAATGTAACATCAGGCATGAATTCCGACACTAATTCACACATCTCAGTTTTATATTCCATCTCACAACTCAATAACCCGAATATTGAAACCCCCGATGAATTTGCCGACTCAGAACCATCCCCATCCAATAATTTTCATAACTCTTCTAATTTTTCTCAACCCCCTTTTCAACCCATATTATCCAATAACCCTGACCCAATCACTCCCACACCCTCTTATGCTTCCCAAGTTACCCCAACCTACTCCTCATACCATTCTGACCAATCATCTCATTCTCCAGACACCCCCCGAATCTCCCCAGAGCTAGATAATTTTATTACCCTTCAACAACAACCCTACCACCTTAATACCCCAACCATAAACCAAATCTCCTCCACAATAAATTCATCCAACCCCCCTACCCCTACACCCTCTTCAAATTATACTGAATCATTAGCACCGTCATCCACATCAACTGAATCTTCACTCAACACTAATAGAGCTTACCGCACTTTTAAAAGAAAGTTCCCCAACCATCCTTTCCCAGCAAAACCAGGAACAGCCCGTGAATACATCAACCACCCCAAGCATACTAACACAAAAGAATTTTTAGCCATCACCTTACCCTCATTCCCACAATACACCTTAAACACCCCCCACGACACTAACGAAACACGCAACTTTGTAGATGAATACGTTTTAATGCCCACTCTCTCTTGGACCTCATATTATCATTTTACTAATCCTCTTTGCTTACCTTTATCTAACACTCACATCGATATAGAGCGAAATACGGACATGCTATATCGACTCACTACACCACTAACCGCTAGACAATTTACTTACGTTGGATATAAAAAATCACTAAAAACACACACTGCACCTAGAGCTAACGAATATACACTCGAATACTATGATCACAACATCATCAGAGCTAACCAAGATCAATTCTTAGACGACGATCGCTTCGCTAATCCACAAATTACCGAGAAATTTTTCATCAAGACACCATATATATTTACACTAAACATCTTCGACCGAAAGTTTGATCACATTATTTCAGAAGCACTAACAGACACACAAGCATACGAAAGTTTTAAAGAACGCTTCCAAATATTTTCACTAACCTTTCATTTCCTTGCACCACACGAAAGAGATTTACACTGCTCACACGATATTATGTTGCGCACTAAACAAACCCACACATATAGTTATTATCGCTTCATCCAAAATCACTTTGACCTACACACACCCTCTAGACAACCACACCATCGTTTTCAATTCATTAATTCCAAATACACTTCACCATTTTTCCTAAATTTCACATATTGCATTAAAGATACTAACCTTCATGGTATTCTTCGCAATTATGATCCCATAACCCAAATGTACATCTTCTGTCCCATCACCAAGACCTTCAACGCCGAAGAATCCCGACCCTTCCTTATCCCGCACGAGTTTGTACAACCTATAGAAATCCCAATTTTAGAATTCATCCACAACACTAAATTCAATCACAAATTATATAATCTAATCCAAAACACACCTTATGAGTTTGCAGTTGGCACTGAAGAACTAACCACTATTAAGGCACTTCAATTGCTTTGGCCACTGCTTCAGACTAAAAATATCATCCGCATCTTAGCTAAACTACTAACAACTTCCGATCTCATCCACGACATCTTCCCCCACGGTTTTTTCCCCGACGACTAACAGGTAAGTATGAATTAAATGAATATAACTAACTAATTGAAATATTAAAAAACTCACCATACTTTATCCATGTTTTTTTTAGATTTTTAGCCTTCATCCGACAATAACCTACAAAAACCACAAAAGACAAATAAAAATCGCAAATTTCATCAAACAGATTTCAAAAATTCTATTAATCTCTTACACTTATAAATTTATAAATTTAATACCAATGCAGTAAATTCATTTCTAAAATTTTCCCCACAAGCAGTAAATCTAATTATAATGAAAATTTGTAACTTAAAATTCCCCCATAATTAGCAGTAAATTTCCAAATTCTATGCAGTAAATTAATAAAATGCAATTGCAGTACTAACCTTTTGATATTTTCATTCATTCGCACAGAAATTCTATCCACACTCGCACAGCTCGCCCACGAAGAATTGTTTAAAATAATGAATTTCAGTTTCAAGTTTTCACACTCAACAACTCTAACATATAATAACATGTTTCAAACCTTCCTTTAACCCGGTTGGAAAGGAATCATATACTAAACAAAACTAACCAACGCAGCTTACTAAATACCACAAATCATAGAATAACAGCATGACTAAGAAAAGGAAACCAACGGTACCCAAACCGGATTAACCCAGTTTAAAACTGGATAATTTATTCTTTTGAAGACTATTATAAAGTCTAAGAAAGAAATAATAAAACACAAAAAAGTCGAAAGACAAACCCATACCACGAACAATTTGCTTTTTGGAAAAAGAACATAACCAACAAGACATAAGAAAAACCACAACAAACCCAACATAAAACGTTGTCACATAACAGGACCCCTCACAAAAACCGCATGAAATCATACTCCCACTCCTGGCCTAACCCACCAGGAAGGACGTCCTGAGCATGCTCTATAGCCGGCCTAACCCACCGTGCTACATCCACGCTTTGTGACCACACCTCTATTTTTAATAAGAGCTACTCAAGTGTGAGTAACTCTTCAAAATAACCGAACTAAAACAAAAAGTTTTTGTGAAAACAACTAACTAAAATCATAATTAAAAAATATTAAACTAATAAATGTTTTATAAAATGTAAATTACATTATGCAATACATAGATCAGAATACAACACCAAGGACGAACATCTAAAGACAAAACGACCCCACTACGCTCGAGAGAGAATGGCCAACCACAATCGATATGCCACTCACAATCACAACTCAAAGGATTTAGAGTACGACTTGACTTCGCAGAAAAGGACTTCATTGAACTAGACCAATGACCACCTCGATGTTCAAGTATACGTACAGATCCGAGTAACCAGGCATCCCCTCCACGCACAATCTCCACGCCATTCCCAAACTAAGATCAGACACAAAAGAAGTTCTCCACGCAGAACAAAAAAACCTGACATAGCAAACCATTCTGAAATCAGATTTGAGTTTGTTGCAAAGACTTAGTCGTTGTCACTAGAAGACACAACGTCTTATGTCTCTAACTCCAGCTTCCTGGAACTTCTTTAACAAAGAGGAAACAGAAGAAATATGATGTTCGCCAAACACCAACGTCCATCATCCATCCTTCGAATTGCAGAAGAACCATTCTAAAAAACTCTGTAAAACCCGGATGGGTGGAACCTGATCTAAACTACATTTTATGATTGGATAATTTAGATATTTTACCAATGTAAAGTATTTAATATTAACCAATCATGATCCATCTAACTAACAACCCACTTATTTGTAAGTGCTGAAGTTACTTGTAATTTCAGCACCAGAGAGATTTGAATTTAACTTAGAAATTAGTTGGACTCTCCCGAGCACTTCAGCAGCCGCAATAAACCAGTATACCCTAGATCTATTGAGCCTAGCAGAGACTAGTTAAACAACCTGAGACTAGATAGTATAAGAGTAAGATTAGGATCGGTATTAGACTAAGAAGTTGCACGAATCTATCCGGCCGAAAATAAGATAGCGTGACGAGCAGACGGTGTACCCTATCCGAAATTACTCTATGAGTTAACCAACTCGGTCCTAACTCACTTTGTTTCTCAATAATGGGATAACTTTAACTACCTCGCGCCTTCATTCCCTTTTAGCAAAAGTTTACCCCCATACCAAAAACTCAACGGTTACGATTGCGCGGTTGCGTTTTTTCTTTTACCTATAACAATTCCCACGGTTAACGCTACAATCGCTAATCTTTTCGAATTTTCAGGGTTCAGCTGGAACTTCTGGGAATCAAAAGTATGTCCATAACTTCTGAAGATTTATCAATTTGTGTGTACCAATTAGCCGAATTTGATCACAACTTGATCGGAAAAGTTCACCAAATGACATTTCCTAATAAGGAATCTGATTTGAGACTAGACCTCAAATGTGAAGCTGATCTGGAAGCAACTGTCAATCAAAACGGAAAAGTTCAAGAAGGAGACAAAGGTGAAACAGGGAACAAAGGTCAACAACCAAATCCAGGTCAAGTTGTAAAAGAAGATAACGGCGCTGCTTTCAAAAGCATAGCATCAATTAGTAGCAATGCAACGGTTATGAAAAAAATCTCAACATCTAGTCTCAAATCCGAATACCAAACAGTCGAAAAAGAGAAAAAAGATTCAAGTTATGGACGCAAAATTCCAATAGGTTCAAATATTCACTTGAACGATGGCAAATCTAGTAGCGCCTTTGCCGCCTCAATCAAAATTGATGTCACAAAAATATTCGGAAGGTCTGAAAGAAAATCCGATGTCCAGTTATGGGTCACCTTAGAACCAAGAAGCTCTCAAAATCGGAAAACTAGTCAGAATGGATCTATCGCTCAATACGTGAAATTCAGAGGAGTGCAGTTTGTTTATGAAAAAGTAGTCGGGGTTAATAAAAAGTATTAAAAAAGTCATATTATTAATAAACTGTTTCCATTCGCTGCTACCAAGTCGTTTGCTAGTTTAAAGTAGAAGTTAAATTTATATAAAAGATTTGGTGATGTTTGTGATCTAGGTTAATGAAATGAATTTTTTATCTGAATCTGTTAATTTATTTTACAACGGCCACTCTGGACCATATTATTACTGCTCCTACCAATGGCAAATTTGATGGAGGATATTTTTGTGTTGAGCGCATCAGCCATCTCAAATAAATGTTACCGCGACTTTGAAGTTTTTCTGGCCCGAAAAATACGCTGCGAGAAATTTGTTGTTGAGAAAAAATGTGTTTTTGTAGTTTCTAGGTTTTAACGAAAAGAAATTTTGTGATGTATTATTTTACCTAAAATGAAAATGAGAAGCTAAAACAGAAGAAAAGTTCAACGCTTCCCACAGTTCGAAAAGCTTTGAACTTTTCTTCTGTCTTCATTCGTTGAGTACAAACTATTAAACACTTTTCGCAAAAAGTTATGAAGCAATTTTGATAAACCAATTCCTTTTCCTTTATATATAAATTTTGCTAAAACTATCTGGGTACAAAAGTTTTGAGTAAAACTAGACTGAGGGCAAAATTTGACTTAGAGCTCAGTTTCCAATTGTTTTTGACAGTTTTAGGTTATGTCTTTCAATACCAAACAGAAAAACCCATTTTTCTAATAAAAATATTTTTCTGAATGAAAGTTCCGTTTGAAAAAAGATCTAAATTACGTCCCATCCAATAAACTGGGACGTAATAGATTGTTCCAAAATTGTGTTTTTCTCGACTAATTGGAAAATTTGTTTTGCAATTTGCGAAAATTATGCTGCGAAAATTATTATTGTGCAATTTATGGTTCGTTCTTGCAAGATTTAACATGCGAAAGCAAATCACCCGTAATTTTTAACTAATTTTTTTCCCGCGAACATTTTTTTTTTATTCTAACACTTTCTGTCGACATGCTCAATTCTTACAAGCTCAGTTTTTGAAAATTCAAAAACGCCTATATTTTAGTTCAGATTAAAAATTATAGTGGGTTTGTGGTTTGTGACCTAACTTTTCTCGACTGATTGTCTTTTTTTCATCTGCAGTTTGTTTCATCAAGTACAGTTTCCGGCGGTTCTTTTTAAAAAGCTGTGACTTTGTTTTTGTAAAAAATATTCGATTAAATGGTTTCGGTGCATCTTTTGTCGGCTTTGACAACCAAGGTTGCGCATTTTCAAGGGTGAAGAGTTTTTAATGCTTTTGTTTGTTTCAGGGGGGATGGTTTAAGAGTCATTGAAATTAGTTCGACGACAAAGCTTCATCATTGTGATTATGTTAGACTCGCCATAGTAACCATAAGCTTTAGCTGGGAGAAACAGCAAAAGTAACAAAAGGAGAAAATCCAAACAATTAACAACTTTTGGGTGAGCTTCGTCTGACGGAAGAATTAGAAAAAGTTTATTACCTTCTAGAGCCCATATCCAAACATCTTTCATTGTGGATGCATTATTGGGAAGGTAAAACCATGTCAAGGCCGCAAACTACAAGTCTACTTGGATGCATAGGTGTTAGAGATGAAAATGGTTGTCATATAGAATAAGGAAAACAAGGAAGCTCGAAGCATAACAAATTTACTCTCCCAAATCTTCTTGCAGACTATCCCGTTGATGTATGTGCTGGAACTCAACTTATGTTCTTTTACATGGACATTGTTCATTATTAAATAGTCGGAGACACAAAATCACCCTTGTAACGAGTCATTGAAACAAATCGTCCGCTGAAAAAATCTTAGGACTGTACAATTGAACCGAATCATCGTAAAGTGTTTAGTAATTTGGACTTCAAAAATCATTGGGTCAACAAAATTTCTGATATTTCTGTAAACTTGAGAACAAAAATTGACAGGGTTTGTTCCTTCTGCTGAGAAGGAAATTCCACAACCAAGCAGACCTACTACGATTTTCAATGTAATATAGACAATGACGCAGTGGTTTCGATGCGTTAGCCTCAGGAATAGAGTGTCACTTCCATTGGCTCGAAAATTTGTGATAGTTGCAAACAAAAGGATAGGAGGAGAACTACTCATACAGGCAGCTCCAGAATTGATAAAAGTTGTAACCAAAAGAAAAAGCCCTCAGCAGGCACTCAAAATCTTCGTTAAAAAACAATCTGAAAGCAAGAAGGAGGGGGAGTAGGTTTCGAAAAAGTCATTCAAGTTGAACAACGAGACGCGTCATTCCAAGAAAACGAAATTCCGATTTCTTTACAAGGGTCCAGCAACTCTTAGCTCGTTTGACTTTTTTTGAAAAACCTTCCTTACTAGTCAGTTCTGAAAAAAAAACTCTCCCAAAAAATGGACTTTTCTACTCTCCTGATGGTCCTATGCTCGAGTTGGAAGTACTCGGCGACAGAAATAGTTTCATCGATCTTCTTCGTAGTCGCTTGGAAATAGTTGCGGGAATGGTTCGAAGCAATCGCCCTTTGCTTCGAACGCATGCTACAGACACAGCAAACAAGAGATTGCCGTTATTTATTCACAACCCTTTATCTTCATTTTCTTTCTGAGTGGAAATTGTCTTTGAGTGATGAGAAATTATCAACTACGAACGCAAATTATGCCCATAAAAGCTGCATTGAGACCAATTTTTCAAACAGTATTGCTGCTAAGAAACATTGGTTAGTTTTTCAAGGTTATTATCATGAAGAAAATTCATCAGCTGTTGACGCTAAGTGAAGGAGAGCTGAGGGTAATGCGGAGAGTAAGACTCTCGTGGCGGCCTCGAACGAACTAAAGCTATTTGATAAAACTGCATGACGCTTTCTACCGTTCGACATCACCTACTTAGCGGTATGACATTTAGATTGCCTCTTAGAAGTTCTCCTAACAATTTCGTTATCAAATCTGGGGCTGCAGCTAATTACTTAAAGGTCCAAATAATTGGAACTAACCTTTATGTCGGAAACATGACTGGGACTACTTATGTTTTTTCGTCGATAGAAAAATTATTGTTGAAGGACTTGGCCCTTTACATTTACCTTTAAGTAGTGCCAAAAACGTTTCTCACAAGTGCAGGAGTGCCAAGCTGACAACAAGAGCATGTTTTCAAAAAAAGAGTCTGTTCGAAGAATGATATTAGCAATGAGCATGAACGAAATAAATTTGGGTACCAACAGGACACATCCTTTTCATTGCCAAATGTTTGGATTGACTTTTTGAAATCTTCGGATTGAGTTATATTTCACAGCTATTTTCGATTATTCTCACAGTGGGCCGGACAACTGAAATTTGGAACAACCGAAAACTTGAACATTAAAGGGTCAAAAGAAGACAAGGCACGAAAAATGCTTTTGCGGTCACCTTTTTAAAGTAAATTGGTAGTCTCTTTAATTCATTGTAATGCAAAATTTGATTAGTTGGAATGGGACGATACCGCTAAACTTGCATTTGCAGCGAAGCCAGAGAAAATGGATTCATGATTAGGGATGAAAAAATTGTAATTTTAACGGATATAATTGAAAACTTTAGGGGATCGCTCATTCGTTGCTTCAACCATTGCTTAAATTTTTTGAAGAATTTAAAGATTTTTTAATGTAACAAACCCCGACAAATGTCATCGTTTTCACATTCGCCTTCCTGTTCCAATCATCAATTTTAGATTTTTTGGGGAATTTTCCGCCAAGGACTCGAATTTGCCAGTTGACAAGATTACCTATTGACGATAATTAAAAGTTCCTTCTTGGTTTTTTTGTACAATTTGATAGTTATTCTACCTGTCTGTGCAAATGTACAGGTCTCTCTTAACGTATTTGCAACGACTCTTTATTTTTTCATCAGGTAAAGGTATATCCTGAAAATGATCGAAATATCCAATATCCAATTCATAGGAAAAGTACAGAATAATTGAAAAACAATCGACTGGTTTTTAGTCAGGTTGAAGAATGACTGATCACAGTATACAAGACAGATCATGCGTTCGCAAGGCCAAAACTTAGGTCACAACTTTATGAGCGCCTTGAGCCATAATTATAAAGTTTTTAACGATAAACCACAGTTAGTATATGTACTTAATGCTTACCCTCGCGTTAATTGTAAAATTTTTCTCAGGTTTTTCATCTCGACGGTTAATTTGGTGACTCCTATTGATCATGATGATAAACATTTAACAGCATGAAAAAAAATGTCTGGCAAACTAGCGGGTAAACGTGAAACTGAGAGTTTTCGCCCTTAGCCCCTATAACATAGCTATCAGATAAAATCGAAAAATTGAGTTTTCATAAGCTTTTTTAAGATGACCTCAGGCATCATGCGTAGAAAAACAAACAAAAATTGATAGCGTCACCTAACTGACCAAAATAAGCCATGCCACCCTTTCTTGGTCTCAATCATGTTAACAAATTTTTTTCATTCTCTCAATTTCTCTTCGGTAATTTAATCATTTTGTTTTAACAAAATCTTCAAACGTCTTCAATTTACATCTAGTTCTCTGGAGATAATTTCGGTGCCCGAACGAAAGAGAAAAGTTATCTACCAAATGCACACATGAGAACCAGCAGAGAGAGAGAGAGAGAGAGAGAGAGAGAGAGCTTCTTCGTCTCATGCGAGTCTCGTGATTATGCAGAGTGCAAATTGTACTGGGATATTCAAGCAGCAATGTCTCCCAAGTCATTTGTTAGGGGAGATGTTTCAACTCCATCTCCAGAACAACCAACGTTCTATTCGAATGGGCGATTTCATCGGCACAGAGTGCGGAGACATTTGATATAGCGGCATATCCAGATATCATTCAAGGAACGCCTCTAAACACAGCTTGCTACGCTCCTCAAGGAAAAACGAAAACTACAATTAGAGAGTTTTAAAAACATAAGATAAAAACTAATTATTTTCTATCAATAAATGTTCCTCAGGTTTTTTTCTTTTTCATTCTTGTTCGAATTGATTAAAACTTCCTTTCAGTATGACCATGTGTATCTTTTGATCTCAGATTTATCTTACGTTGAAGATCAATTGAACTTATCTCTGTAATATTTTCTACAAGGTCTTAGATTAAAAAAAACTTGCAGAACTAAACAAAAAAATTATAATTATGATTTTTTCGTTAAAATTTTTGTTTGAGAAAGATTTAGAGAGAGAGAGAGAGAGGGAGAGAGAGAGGAATTGA